TATATATATATAAACGCAGATTATTATTAAATGTACTCACTCTCACTACGTTTTCGATCAATTCGGCAGGTAGCCTAGGCTCGTCCGCGGCCGGTTGATATTTTTGTAGTAATGCTCTCACTTGTAGAGAATTTAATTTAAAGCAAGTCGAGCTTAGCGTAGCCAGCTCTTCAGCATTATATTTCGGAGCTTGTAATAGATGAGTCGCCTGCATGATCGTCGCCAAATGGCATTGACTGGCAAGTTCCAGGCCTTGCCTTTCGGCCCAGGTCTCTAATGCGTTCAGTCTCGCTTTGAGTCTGCGTCCGAACCATCTGACACACAGATTTCCATTTGAGACAAGAGTATTGAAAGCTGTGGCATTGATCGCGTGAAACAGATGACTAAATAATTGTATCGTCAATGCGGCATTCACACGGCATCGTCGTAATAAGGCCATCGTGTTTGAAAAAATCTGCAGCACTCCAGCCTCCTTCGCTGGTTCATCTGCGTCCGCCATGAACTGTGTCATTGCTGGTGTAAGTTCTAATGTGATGCATCGCACCAACGAGCCGAAAGCTGTATGTACCGCTTCTGCCAAGATATCTTGCGCTCGCGTGGAAAATGCACCCACATGCCGGTCACTCTTCAACATATGTAATAGCTCCGAGCCATTCGCTAGCCAAAAGGCCAATGACGAAGCATCCATGTAACGTTCCTGAAAACATAATTTTCTTTAAGCTTTTTCATATATATTTCATATATATTCATTACATATTATATTATAGACTATTCTTATATACTATTATATGAATAATCATTTGTAACATAATCACATTTTTAGATTATATCTAAACTAAGACACTTTCTTAAATATATTTGAAATAAATATAGTTGAAATAATTCAAACATATTTCAACATTTACATGGACCATCTTAAAAAATCAGATACGTTGCTTGAAAGGACAAAATTATTCATTATTATAAAAATACCTGAATAACGCGTTGTATCATAGTAGCAACATTCGCCAACATGACAGTAAGTCGGTGCGCTCTTTCCGTAGGCTGCAATTCTGGTCTGTAATGAGTACTGGCGCGATATCTGGCGCTGAGATAGAGGGTGTATGTTGGCGCCAACTTGAACTGTGGTGCCGAGGGTTCTATATCGGTGATGACAGCGTGAAGAAATGTCTCCTCTGTTTCCTCGAGAAATTCTAAGACAGCTGGCAGAATTGGATCGGTGCCTCGCGGTTGTCGATCGTATTGTGAGAGCCTGCTAATAATCAATAGGCATTAATTTCTTTTCTCGTAATCTATTTAAACTTTCAAATCTTCTTTTTCAAAGTCAATATCAACATTTCCAAAAAATAATTTAACGGTATACATTCATACAATATTATATTCATACAATATTATATTTTCCCTAATTATGAATAATTCTACATATACATTTATAATATTGTAAGAAAATATTGACAGTGTATATTCTACAATGCAATAGTATTCTAAAAAAACGCTTAATAATGCATAATAATTGTGCATTCAATAAATAACTTAGCTAAATTGACAAGCCGTAAATGTAAAGTGATCAAATTAAAAAATTAAAAAAAAATAAGCTTACACAAATAGAGAAAACAACTAAGTTAAATCAAGCATACTTTTTAAATATTTCATAAGAAATGCACAGAATGTTTTGAAGAATGTTTTATACTGTAATTGCTCGTGATAAAGATCTTGTGATAAAAGTCTTTGCATTATAAGCCTTTCATTTTAAGTACGATTTTAATATGTACGATTTTAATATTTAATAATTTATAGTTGTAAGTATCTTTTTTCAATGTAAGTTACGCCTCATAACTCATCGTAGAATCATTGATTGACTATGACGCGAAGATTTCTATTTGTTTATTACGCTTATGAAAACTAGAAAGTAGCCGAAATACGTTTTATATATGTATAACTTATTATATGACTAAATGCCAAACATGTATTTTTAAACATTGATTGAATAGTTTTTTGTATTAATATGTACTAATTACAGCGCCAATTCGTAATAGCCCTAACTTCCTCATTTAAAATTTTGAAACATAAGAAATTCAAATTGTTTTTAAATTGTTAATAATTGTTCCCCGGTTTGCTACCTGTTGCCATCCCTGCTGCTGCTTAGACTAGCGGTCTCCACGTTTCCATCCAGGTCGAATGTGGTCTCATAATTGTGTGTGGGCTCCGGCGGATGTGTGGGACTACGAGGACTACGAACTGCTGCAACAGCAGACTTCGAGGGACTTGACGGGGTTGCTCGCTCTTGAGCTTGACCCGGGATCTGACCACCGCCGTTCGGTGTTCCAGACCCCGGATGAAACTTCTCTGAGCTGACATCCTGATTGGTCGCGTCCGGCGAGCGTCTATCATTATGCGTATGCAAAGCGAGCATCACAACAGGAAAAGCAAACGTAAAGCATATAAAGCGAAATAAATTCAAAAGTGAAAAAAGTGTAATAAAAATTCGTGGAAAAATACGTTTCGGTTCTTTAACAAGATTCAGCCAAAGGTATGGAAGATTTTTAATAAAATGTGATAATCATAATTAATGTAGCTGCTCTTTTCTCTTTCTTCTTATTTAATAAAAACATTTATACTGTGCTTCTCAATTTATAAATTTTAACACTTATTACAAATATTCCATACTTTCAAAGACAAAACATTAATAATTCAAGTAAAATTATTATAAATTTACATATGTATAAGATTTAATGCAATACAGCAACAAGAGTATCTAATAATTATAATAACATAAACTATTATAAGTATATTTACATTGCAATGCAAAAAGGAACATGTACCGACTAAATTGCAACGAACGTGCAACATTCGCACATCATGTCTATTGTCTGATTGCAATGACGAGAGAAAGGAGAACGCAAAAACTTACTTATGAGTCACAAACTTACCGGTCGTAAGAGTAGTCGATCTGTTTGTTGGAATCGTGTCTCTGCCTAATGCGCTCTTCCGGCGCCGGATCAATGAATCGAAAAGTGTGCATTCTGCCAAATTTGATGATAGCTCCATTCTGCAAGTGTGCACAACAATAGTTTATTATTATATTTGCTCTTCAAATCGATTCAATATATAAAATTAAATTTAATTTAAAGTAAAGAAAATTTTAATTTTATTTTATATAAAATTAAAGTTTGTTTAGTATTTTATAATTTTTTAAAATATA